TGTGCACAGGAGGGTTAGGGTGCTGTAGGTGGATCAATCAGAGGCTGTTAGAATAACCCAGGTGAGGTGAGCCTGAGCTGTGAGGAGGTTCGGAGGGTCAGGGAGGTGTCTGCTTTGGACTGCATAGCAGCACTGGAGACGTGAAAGCAGTTACAGATTGGATGCGAAGGTTTTTTTTTTTTTGGCCGGCTCAGCCCACCCTGGGGGCAGGGCTGGTGTGGTTTGTGGTGCTGGGAATTGAACCGCCGTCCTTAAGTGCTTGTTTAAGCTTGCCTAAGCAGGTAGGTGCGTTAGACTGCTGAGCTATTTCACCAGCCCTGCGAAGTGTTAAGGAAACAAAATCTGTTGATTTTTGTTTGTTTGTTTGTTTGTTTGTTTGAGTGACCAGAAAGATGGAATTACCATCAATCAAGACAGAGACTGTAGGTAGAATAAGAGGGGAATAGAAATTCATTTCTTGAAATCAAACTTTGTTCATTTGAGATTGTTACAAATTCAGTTGTAGTTATAAGAAATAATATAGATGCCTTTTCACACTGTACTCAATCTTTCCCAGCAGTAGCATCTTGCACAATTAGAATGTTGACATCAGTACAGTCAAGTTGCAGGGCATTTTGTGGTCAAATTTTTTTTTTTTTTTTTTTGGTACTGGGAATTGAACTCAGGACCTTGCACTTGCCACTGCCAAGCTATATCCCCAGCCTGGTCATACTTTTTGACTTTCTAAAGCCACCCCTTCCTTCCTGAACTTCTAGTAGCTACAAATTTGTTTTCCATTTCTATGATTGATTTTGTTATTTTGAGAGTCTGATGTGAAAGGAATCATACAACACGTAACTTTTGAGATTGGCCTTTTGTTACTCAGTGTTGTTCTCTGGAGATTCAACCAGGTTGTTAAATGTGTTGTCAGTTCTCCTTTTTTTTTTTTTTTTAATAGCTGAGTAGTATTCCAGCAGATTTTTTTTTTTTTTTTTAAAGGCTCTTACTAAGGCACTATTCAAACAAGCCCTTTTCTCCCCATTTCTTTTTGTTTTGCTTTTTGGTCCTGGGAATTGAACTCAGGGCCTCGCTCTTGCCAGGCAGGCTCTGTGCCACTGAGCTGCATACCCTAGCCCCTGCTGAGTAGTATTCCATGGCATGATATACTGTGCCTTCATTACCTGTTGAAGCCTGTCTGGGTTGTTTAAAGCTTTAGGTTATTAAGAATAAAGCTGCTGTAAACATTTCTGTTCAGATTTCTGTATGAATATAAGTTTTCATTTCTCTGCGATAAATGCCCAGGAGTGCAATTTCTGGGTGATGCAGTGATTGTGTATTTAGTTTTAAAAGAAATTACCAAGTTGTTTTCTGGAGTGGCTATCTTGTTTTACATTCTTACCAGCAATATCAGTGATCCTTTTCTGTGCATCCTTGCCAACATTTGGTGTTGTCATTGTGTTTTATTGTAGCCATTCTGGTATGTGTGCAGTACTATCTCTTTTCATTTGCATTTCCTTAGGGGCTATGAGCTTTTCGCAGATCTTGCCATCTGTGTGTCCTCTTTGGTGAAATGTTTCTTTGTGTCTTTTGCCAGTGTTCTAACAGGATTGCTAGTTTATTGTTATTTTTGAAGTTTGAGAATTCTTTGTACTTTCTAGTAATAAGTCCTCAGTGGGATATAGTAGTTTAAACCCT